AAATTCTAAATAATTGAAAAAAAAATTAGTGTGTCCTTAGGGAGAAGCAAGTCTGTGGTTGTCTTTAATGCTTCTCAAAATGAGGGTGGGAGAACTCTAATGGCGAAGCTGGGTCTTCACAGGAAGGTAGGCCAAAACTTTATTTTCTTTTCCTTTACAATCTTCCCTTTTCGTTTATAGTTGTTGTTGTTGTTATGTGTCATTGAGTCTGACTGACTTACAACTGACCCTTCAGCAAGTTTTCAGAGGTTGCGAACCGCACAGGAGATTGTCAGTCTTTCTCCAGAGGAGCACCTGGTAAATTTGAATGACCTGCCTTTGGATTGGCAGTGCAACTCCTTAGCTCTAGGCATCAAAGTATCTTCTTTTTATAAACATTTTTTCAATCTTATATTGGTTTGCATACAAAATTTGTATATATTGTGTTTCATTCATGTACATTGTGTTTCACACATTTCTTCATTCACATTGTGTTTTGTACAGTCATTCCCATACATTGTTTTATAAAATTAATCACCATTGATCTATGCCCACTGTTACCCCATCTTTTCAGGTCACCACTGTTATTGTTGTTATATGCCATTGAGTCACTTGTGACTCATAGTGACCCTGTGTACAACAGCTTTAAACCCTGCCCTATCCTGAGCCAATATCACTGTCTCTGACACTCCTAGCTCCATTGCTCCAGTCACTGGGCCAATCCTTCTCATCCAAGGTCTTCCTCTCTTGAACTGTCTCTATACCCGTCCAAGCATGATGTCTTTCTCCAAGGACTGGTCCCTCCTGAAAGATGCCCAATCTTTGCCTCCAAGGAGCAGTTTGGTTTAACCCCATTTAAGGATAGACTTGTTTGTTCTCTTGAGAGCTCATGATATGTTTAATACCCTTCTCCAGCACCATGACTCAAAGGCACTGATTATTCTTCTTTCATCCTTAATCATTACCCAGCATTCTAATGCATAGCAAGTAATTGCCAAAATCATGGCTTGCATCAGGCACACCTTAGTCTCCACACTGACATCAATGCTATTAAGCACTCTGGAGAGGTCTCTGGGTTTGTGTGTTTTGTTTTTTTTGCCGATTCTTTCAGAGCAACTTATATTTCTTCCTTCATTGCCATAGACTCTTGCTCTTATGTTGTTTCATTAAATTCTTCTATGTCAGCCAATTCATTTTGGTACAGTGACTCTGTATCCTCCTTCCATCTTCTTTTAATGCTTCCTGGATCTCTTAATATTCTGCCCAAAGCATCATTAAGTATTGCAACTCAATGCTTGAATTTATTTTTCAATTCCTTCAGCTTAAGAAATGCTGAGCAAAATTGGCCCTTTTAATTTTCTGACTCCAGCTCTTTGCACAATTTACTTTACTTTGTCTTCCTGTACTACCCTTTGAAATCTTCAGCTCCTTAATTTCTTTATTTCTTCCTTTTGCTTTGACTTCTCAGTTCTCCAGGGCAATATTCAAAGTCTCCTCGGACACCCATCTTGGTCTTTTCTTCTTTTTCTGCCTTTGTAATGACCTTTTACATTTTTCGTGGATGATGTTCTTGATATCCTCCCACAGCTCATCTGGTGGTGGTCAAGGCCTCAGACCTGTACCTGAGATGGTTTTGACATTCAAATGGGCTATACTTAAGATTTTGGTTCCTGTGGATTTGATTTAATTTTCTTCTAGCACCTGGCCTAGTTTTCACAGCTGATATTGAGCTTCTCCTGCGATTCTTTCTACAGATGTAATTGATTTGATTCCCGTGCATACCATCAGGTGAAATCCATGTGTATAGCCTGCATTGGTGTTTCTTATAAAAAGTATTTCCAATGAATAAATCATTGAATGTACAGAATTCTATAATTTTATCTCCAGCTTCATTTCATGTTTTCCAACTGTTGTTCTTTCCTCCCTTTTGCGTGACCCCTTCAATGAGTATTCTTTAAATCTGGAGGTGAGTCGCAAAGGAGTCTACATTAGAATCAGGAAACACAGTAAAAATGGCCATTTAGAAGAAAACTATCTGTTTAAAAAGAAATAAAGCTTAAAAATTTAAAAAAAAAGAAAAATACCTTTCAAAATACAGACTTTTTGGAAGAGAGCAAAGAAAAGTGATCCTTGATAATGGAGAAGTTGGGGCTGCTCCATTAACTTTCATCTTTTTTCAAGAAACTCTGCTTGTGAGTTTTGCAGCCTCCTCTCATTTTGAGGGGGCAGAGAGGAGACTGTAAGGGTCAGTGTCTGGCTCACCATGCTTCTTTCTGTGGAGGTGCCATGATTGAGCAAATTGTCACCCTGTTCCTTCTTCACCTTTCAGGTCAGATAGATTTATATTTTTAGCATGAGCAGTTTGCTGTACTTGCTAATTTACAGTCATTTGGTCTGAATAAAGCCTTTTGTTTCCTGGGTTAGCCTCAGAGAACATTGCCAAGGTGAGGCCTAGCAGAGCCTGGACATATTCTGTTGGGGCCCCGGCAGGCCCCACACCTCCGGGCCTCCCAGATGTGACAGTCAGGGGCTGTTGATATGCTGTGTTGTTCATGGCACTGTGTTAAGCTACTCCGTGTGTAGCCTGGATTTTGCTGAATCAAGGCAGTTTTTGTGTAAAGAATGGAGGTGCTTTCAGTAATTTGTCAGAATAGCTAGGAGCTTGTCAGATCAAGGACTGGATCCCAAAGACTAAGCCTCGAAAGGACAACTAAGAAGAAGACAGAAAGCATGTTGCTTGAAGTCTGCCTTCAGAGTTGATGCTGAAATGCGGGCCTGCTCCCTCAGAGGTGCAGCATGCCCTCACCCCTCCCCTTCAAGGGGCTGGCCCCCGGGGTAGAAGGTTGATTAATACTCTTAAGGGATGCTAATAATGTCATATTAGGTTGCTGAATTAGAAAGCAGACCAACCCCTGACAATCTGTTAATAGACTGGAGAGAAATAAGAATACCTTCCTTTTCTAGCCTTTTTTCTCCTCCTGTACAATCTCACTATAAACTCTTTCCCTCAGTGTTAGCTTTCATGCTAATATTTCTCAAGTGCTTGCACGCGCATGTGAATCTAAACAGTGTACAGGTTCTTTAAGACTTAAATCCAGGCTAGTTTCATCTTTGAACTAGGGCAACATTTCTTCCACTGCTTACGAGACAATGGCTTCTTAGTGAGATAATAAACAACTGAGTCTTTAAATTTATCCATCACCAACCAGTTTCTGATCTTGAGTACCACTTTCAGAGTTCGTTTCAAGAAGACACAGTTTGGAGCGAGTCTTCCTGATGAAATCTCATTGACCCAGCATCCTGGCTGGCCCCAGGGTCCTAGGGCAGGAAACCTCATCAGTCTCACCACAGGTGGTGCCCCCTTCAGGTAGCATTTCATACCCTGTTAGATTTTTTTTTTTCTGCACCCTGTACCATCCCTCGAGTAAGTGGTAATGAGCAACTTAATGTGCTGACTTAACCAATCCCCTCTTGGTCCATTACAACAAAAGTTGCTCTTTTCTCATTAGAACCATTTTTTGTCAGGGTGTCTTTAATCAATGGCCTCCCTAGGGACAATATTTTTAGAAGTTGTATTTTTCACACTCTATCTTCTCCCCTTTTGGAAATTCTCTGCCCTGTGCCTAGTGAAATGAACTAATGAGATGTCATGAGAGTTTGGGCCAGTGTTAATTGGAACAGGTATGAAGGAAGTCGCTCACGCATACTGTCGTGCTCCGTCTTGCCTTACCTGCGATCCCTTTCTGTCTCTTTGGTGCAGGTTGCGCAGACAGCAGATGGTGTGGATGCTGACCTCTGGAAAGACGGCTTATTTAAATCCAAGGTTACCAGATACCTGTGCTTCACAAGATCATTTTCCAAAGAAAATGTAAGTCCAGCAGTGGTTTTCTGTTTGCTGAGTGAGCACCGATAATTTACATTCCTGTTTGGAAGTTCCTCATTTTTTTGTTGCCGTTTATTTTCATCGCCATATTAATTTATCTGTGGTTTTAGTGAACCAGGTCAAATCAGCAGCTAGTACTATGTTTCATTTATTAACAGTATTATTAACCATGTACCCAAGTGTACAGTGAATTCCATTAAAATGCATTCTCAAAAGGAAATTTCTCTCACAGCACTCATTTGCCTACCTTTCTTCCTAGTAACAAATCACAGGATGGTACGGATGTGAGAATTTCCAGTCAAGCTGGATTTAAAGCTGGCCAGATGGAAGCATAGATAAAAGAGGGAACCTGACGATTATCCCTGACCATGGACATGGCCTTGTTTCCAAATGGATTTTTTTTCCCTCCCTGAGCCTGCATATGGTGTGATAGTTCGTTATTTTCACTTGTTGGAATCCTGTTCATAATTCTTTTAGTGTATTATTTATAATAGTTTGGCACATGAATTGAGAAATTTTAAGGATATCTGCTAAAGTTTTTCCAATAAAATGTTTCAGTGGATGGATTAGCACCTGAGGGAGCAAGTATCTCTTTTATTTTCCTAGTTTACAAATACCTCCAGACATAATATCTGCTTTCCACAAATGCAGAAAATAGGAAGCGGTCAGGTTTTCATTTTTAGATTAAAATTTTATTTTTATACTAGATGTTATTGTCTCTTTTGGATATACATGCTTATTTTTAAAATATTTGTAATAATTTATTTTTACAGACACTATTATAACAGTAACATTATGTTCTCTCTTTTTTTTTAAGTACATCTAACATTTTCATTCAGAAAGAGCCAAAGAGAAAAGTAACTTTCTTTCTCTCTTTCACGTATCTCTGCAGACCCATCACCCTAGCATAGGCAGCCCCCAGGTTCTGAACATCCAACTTATGGACAACTTGTACTTGCCCTTTAATGTTATGTGGAGGGTCAGAGCAAAAGAGGAAGACACTCAAGAAGGTGAATTGGCACAGTTACTACAACAATGGGCTCAAGCATGTCTGAGATCATGGGGATGGCACTGGATAGGGCATGGTTCAGATCTCTTGTTCATAGGGTCTCTGTGAGTTGTTGTTAACTTGATAGCACCTAACCACAATAAATATGTCTTAACTTTGAAACAACTGATCTAACTCCTGTTTACAAGAAATTCTTCATCACTATTACCTTCTCTTGCTGTATGTGCAGCTTCTAAATCATCAAAAAGGCTTCTGGCCTTTTCTTGCACTAAAGCAGCGCTAAATAAGAACTGTATGTACCTGTTCTGACTCACCTACAAATTCTTAAATGAACAGTTGAGAACAGCTCTCACTTGTACCCCAGGGCCTGCCTATGGTGCATGCACCTTCAGTGGTTTTCTGAATTTGGATAATCACAGGCAAGGTTCTCTGGTTTGCACAGTTCCATCAGCCCTTCCTGTTGTTCATTAGCAGTGCTTTGTGAGGAGAATAAGTCCTAATGTATTCAGAACACAGGGAGAAATCACTGCTTTAATCCTCCCACCCCCAATCTTAAGAGTAATATATCCTCTTTGTAAGATACAGAATTTTATAATAGAGTAGGGCAAAGTCCTGGCGCTAAACATGGAAAATCTTTCTTAATGGAGTTTTTCGACATTATAGGTTAATAATACACAACAGAGTAATCGTATTATGATTTACATTACATTTTCATGCTTTCAATATGGTTGTGGGTGTTAGTTGCCATCATGTTGACCCTGCCCATGGCAGCCCCTCCCGTGTGCCCGTGTAGAGCTGTGCTCAGCAGGCTTCTAAGGCTGGGACTTCTCAGAAGCAGGCCTCCGGGCTTGTCCTCAGAGGCATGTCTTGATGGCCACCCTTCTGACTGGTAGTCGAGTGAATGCTTAACTGTTTGCACCACCCAGAGATCCCTTCCAATGTTTTTAATACAGAACTAGGAATATAACCAGGAAGGTAGCCACCTAAGTGAAGAGTGAATAGACTTGTAAGAAGTCCAGACAGGTCCCTTGGCTCATTGTCCTGTTGGAGGAAACACTAGGGGACAGGTCTGTTTAGATACCAGGCTCACAAAGTTAGGGACAGTCCTCACTCCCCCACCCTCTATGCAGTATGTACGCACACAACACACTCTCCTGATACCTATATTGTATTTCATGCAATCTAAATGAAAGATTGTGTAAAATACAACATACATGAATGAACAACAGTGTATTTGAATTATTGTATGCAAACCAATAAAAACCTTTTTTAAAAAAAGATTCACCTTTTGTAACCTGTCCTCTTCCATGAGCTGCCACTTTTTACTGAAGGTCAGTGCATTCACCCCCAAGGGCTGTTGGGAGGAACTCCTCAGGATTTGAACAAACTTGTGTTCACACCCTCCCTGCTCACAGTGGTTTCGTGGTGTTCATTACTAGGCTCTACGGAGCTCATTTTTCCTCACCAAACAGGCTTCATTTTATAAAACACAGCTTCATAGGACAGCCATTGTCTCAGCATTCATTTTCCATTGTTCTTTTTATTAGATTTTACCCCAAAGGCTGAGGGTATCAGTTCCTCAGAACAGAAGAAGCCCTATACCCTTGGAATGTGGGCAGTGGCAAGTTTTGAAATAACAAAGAAAAGTACCTGACACTTGTTCATTTGCAGTGTTACAGACCAGTGTATTATGGAAAACCTAGTCAATATTCTTTCTCATATAACAGATGTTTATTGAATGCTAGCTTTGTATGTCTTCTTAATCCAGGAGGGCTCGTCATTGCAGGTTGGAATGTGAAGGTATGTAAGGAGACAGGACAAGGGCAGTGGGAGAAAGCTCTGCTTTCTTTTGAAGTAAGGGAATAAAAGCACTGTGTTTATAAGAAATAATGTGTGAGCCTAAAAAAGGGATCCACATATTCAGTTTGTGGGGGTGACAGGGCCTACTTGTTAGTACAGGAATGCAACAGGAATCACTTATATTTTAATTTGTTATCACCAGACCATCCTCGCTCTCAATCTCAACCTAGACATTGCATAGCATTTTTTTAAAAAAAACAACTCTAAAGGGAGGGATATGGGATCTCAAAACTGGACAGATTCTTAATTAGGTGACTTGAGACTCCCTGTGTAGGAGTTTGAGGAGAGACTCTTTTGGCACCTAAGTTCCTTTCCCCCAATAATGCTATTAATACAGAAACCTAGCTTTAGAGTGACAATGCTTCCTGGGGAAGGATCAAGATTAATTGCACTTTTCATGCCCTGTACTTTCTGCATTACCTGTAATAATAATGTACATAGATTAGGTAGGGAGGATATTAAACAGAAGGATTTATGAACATTTGAATATTAAGTTGGTTATCTGTGGCTACCTTAAATGCAAGGTTGTCAAAAATAATTACAGTATACTAGCAAATACTGGCTACCAGAGACAATATAAATACCCTGAGTCAGTGCATATTGGGCTTTTGGCATGAATCATTTGCTCAACAAGGATTGGGAATACGTTCTTCATATTTATGAGGAGGAAATGAAAGAGAGCACAGGATGGGGGAGGGGAGAGGAACAAGCAAAATTAATGGTGTCGCAGACCCACTGTATTAAACACAGGACGGCAGCCGCTTGGTGCAACGAGGGACCACACTTGGACTGAGAGAAGCTCTGACAGCACAGCCTCCCGCTTTGTATGCACGGGAGGGTTTTTTGATGTTTCTCTTAATGGCCGCACCACTGATGCTCCAGTTTTACGATCAGGGAACGTTTGTAGGGAGTGTGGAGGGTGAGGTCGCTAAGTGGTTTGCAGTTGACTTTTATAAAGCCCAACGTGTCAAGCAGAAGACATTCGAGAAGGATATTGATGAATGCCCATCCATCTACAGGGCAGGAAAACATACCCCCTTGTTAATTTCTCAATGCAGAAAGTAGTGATGACACGGAAAAGCAACTGCCATGAAAAAAAAATTATGATAGATTAAATCAGGCAATTCTGCAAGCAGCTGATGTTTGCTAGTTAGGTTAACAGCCCAGACCCTTCTTGCACAGGCAGAAATTTATTGCAGTTGAGAAGGGCCTCCACTTCCCACTTGCTGCGCTGCACTGCACATTGTCTTCTAAGTCTCAACTCTATTCAGTGCTGCAGTGTTGTCAGCAGAACAGCTCAGAGAGTAAAGAAACAGATTTGTGGTTACAATGCCATAAATGCTCACAGGTTCCACTAGCCAATTTGACCTTTGCAGCTGAATTATAGACTTTCTTTTATTTGTGTTCTTTTGTTTTGGAAGGTTTTTGGTTGTGTATGCTTTCAGTATTTTTATTGATCTCATGTAAAATTGCCATCCAAGCTAATTCCATTTCATTCTGAAGGATTAAAGATTTTTATCTCATTTGTGTACTTTTTGCTCATGAAATATTTATTACATATACTTTACATATATTTTTTAAGGATAGAGTGTAAATTTGCCATTCACGCAAAGGCAGTTAGATTCTGACTGTGATTGGCCTTCCAGTTAAAAAATATGGCCCCCCAAAAAGATTAATTTATTCAGCAATCATTGAACATTTGGAGTGTGTATCACACACTATTATATCCTCAAGTTTAAAGAGTAACAGATAATTTTGGCTTTCTTAGTTCTTGAACTCTTGTAGGGAGATAACTAATAAACAAATAGCTTCACTAATTGGTAAAAAGAAAAAGAGTGTCAAGAGAGAATATAGTATATCATTTGGATGCCAAGAATGCCTTGTTTGCCTATCAGAAGTAGTCTTGATAGGTTTTGTTACATGCAGCATGAGGCTCACATAACTCCCCCATACCCAAAGAGAGAGTTACAAGTCCCTGTTTTTTAAGCTAGGTAGAAATAAACACCTGTGAACTTAATTAATGCCATGTGCAGAGTAATGGGCTGAGCAGGTTGGTGTTTGTCCAGGGATGCAAGACAAGTAAACAGAGTGCATATACTGATTTTGAATAGTGAGAGGCTTCTCAAAAAACAGGCAAAGAACATTACTAGAATCCCAACAACAAAGATTTGGGATCAGAATCTATAATTCTTTTCTTAACTGGCTTCAACTAGAGAGCAGGAGAACTAAGGATGCAAATTACTCAGAAGATTCTAATGAACTCTCCAAGGTGGCCTTGCATATTTACATTGTAGGGTGGCTGTTTTCAGAGCTCATTTCCAACGTGAAATGTGGCTGCAAGGAGCCATGTGTTTGCAGAGGATTCTCTTCACAATTACAGAATGTTATGTTATCTTTGAAAGATATTTTTATACTGGTTATGGGAAGTGTGCACTGTGGATCCCAAATACTACCACTAAACAGAGACATTAAGAGGCCTTTTGTGCATGTCATTTTAGAAGATGTGTAATATTGAGACTGCAGGGCTTGCATTCCATATTAGTTTATAATTCTGGGGATTTTGGAAAATGTACCTAGAAACCAGAATGTGTGTCAAGATACAGACTGGTGATCATTCAGGAGTGTGATTGGTTCTTTGCTAGGTTTAGATGCTCTCTCCGCCCACAACGATTGCCAGAGGAGTTTGCTCTAAAACCTAAGGGCCTGAGTGCCCAATGTTCATGACCTAGTGACAGCTCAGTCAACTGGTGTGCATGGCCATCCTCTGCTGTGTTGTATCTAGAACATCTCCAGGTTCCCCACCCTCCAGGAATTGTTCATCTGGCTAACCAAGGCCATGTCTAAGTAGCTTTGAGATTCTGCAGATGAGACTCCTTCCTGGGGGCCACCCAAGTCCCCGTGTAACCACTGGGGAACATTAACCGGCACCTACTCTAATTAACCTGCTGTCGTAAAGCTGCATGAGTCATTGTGTTAAATATGCATCTTGAATCCAGAATGGCAAAGCTACTACAGGCATATTTAGATTAATAGTCTGTATTTCTTTTCTTTCTTCCCAAGAGTCATTTAGGGAACGTGTTAGTGGATATGAAACTCATTGACATCAAGGACACCCTGCCTGTAGGCTTCATCCCAATTCAGGAGACGGTGGACACACGTGAGTCATCTTTTAGTACCACTCATCACAGTTTTCTTCCTCCAGGTATACTTTCAGATCTTTTTTTAACATGCGGTTTTCTTGGAAATCGTTTTAGGAGGACTTACTTTATAGCCAGCCTATTCTTCTTGACTTTATCTGACTCAGTTTTTCAGAGGGTTTGCAAAATATTCTGGGTGGGAGCATGTAAATGAGCAGAATGCCCTTTTCTCTTAGAATAGTTCTTTCAGAGGGACAATTCTGAATTGGCTTACTCGAGAGTGAAATGGTGAAACTGGTTGTAGTTCATCTTTAGGCCATCATCTAGTGTTACTGAAGCCAAGCTTAGCACAAGACCTAGAAACAAAGGAGAGGGGAAAATGATGTCCAGAGAATGAATACAAGTGCAGGAATGCTCCTATTTTTGCTTCTTAGAGTAAACAAGTCAGAAATGAAGACTACAAATTAGCATACCCAGGATTAGAATTTAACCTAAGTCCACAGTCCACTGTGTGATACTGAGCAGAAGTGAAATTTAATGAATCAGAATTAGATCCTGTGGTGTTTTGAGGGTCTTGCCATGTACATTAGTTACTAAATATAGCTGGATATACCTCTGGATAATTGCATATATGTGGTATACCTTACTGATTTTTTTTAACCTGTAATCACTCATTAGTTAACTTTAGAATATTTACAGTAGTGAAGTAGAAATAAAAGACAAAGGGAATCTTGGCAACTAATGTAATTTTGTGTCTAAATCTTTGTCATAAATATTTTTCTATAGTTAACCCCATTGTGGTCCCACTGTTTTGCGTTGTATTGTATGTATCGCTTTGTACTTTTTCCCCCCAAAGCTAGCTTTCATATAGAAAAGGATTTCCACATTTAGACTCTATAACTTTTCCTTTTTATTAAAATATTTTTATTATGTTTTTATTTTTTATTCATTTGCTTACAAAATTAATATACATTGTGTTTCACACAGTTTTTCATTTATATTGTGTTTCATTCAATTATTCCTGTGAATTGACCAGAAAAGACTGGGCAGTGATGGGCAAGGTCCAATGGTGATTTGATTTTGTAACTTTTCTTCTAATGAAGCAAGTAGATTCCATTGTTTAATATATTTGAATTTTTAAGATTATTCTTACTCTTGGGTTGCCTTTAGTTGTTTGGTGTTACATGTGTTAGCTACTAATCATAGATGTTATGTGCTGTCGAGTCACTTGAGACTCATAGCAACCCTATGTACAACAGCCCTAAACCCTGCTCTGCCCTGTGCCAATCTCACTGTGTCCAACACACCCACCCAGATTACCCCAGTCACTGAATCAATCCACCTTATAGAGGGTCTTCCCCTCCTGTGCTGTCTTTCCACCCTCCCAAGCATGATATCCCTCTCAAGGACCGGTCCCTCCTTAAAACATGTCCAAAATATGTCAGATGAAGCCTCAGAATCCTTGCCTCCAAGGAGCAGCCCGGTTTAACCCTCTCCAGGATGAATCTATTTGTTTTCTTAGCATGGTGCCCTTAATACTCTTCTCTAGCACCACAGCTCAAAGGCATCAATTCTCCTTCTATCTTCCTTAGTCATTGCCCACCTCTCTGATGCATAACAAATGATTGCAAAGACCATGGCCTTTATCATATGCACCTTAGTCTCCAGAGAGACACCATTGCTCTAGTAGTTAATAGTTAACATGTGTTATTAGATGCTAACCCCTCTGATGAATGCATACTGATATGTGCTGACTAGTTAATCCTAACTGATAGTGACCCTTTACAACAAAGAAGAACTGCCTCTTGGGGTTCCCTAGGCTTCAGTCTTTGTGGAAACATATTGCCAGACCTTTTCTCCTATAGAATGATTGATGGCTTTGACCTACAAACCTTTCATTTGGCGGCTAGGTGTTTAACCATTGCACTACACTAGGACTTACATACAGATTTTATTTAATATCAGAAGACTACTATTTAGAGATGGATGTTATCAAACACATTTTACTTTAGAGAAAACTGAGGCATAGCAACTAATTAGAGATTAAAGAATTGTACAAGGCCATACATCTGATGTAGAGAAGGGAAGAAAGGGGACTGGAGGACATATAACGTAGTAACATAGTCTTTCTCCCTGTGGTCACACTTCTAACCAAAATGCCACATTCTAATAGCATGTGTATAAGCGACTTTCATAGGTTGTCTTGTTATAAGCGCTGTTGAGTCGTAGATGACTCATTTTGACCCTATGAACAAAAGATCTGAACAACTGTGTAATTTTCATCGTTTCTCCAAGTTCATAGTTTCCAGAGGCAAGCTCTTTTGGAAGTGGATGCCATTCCTTCTTCCAAGCTTGTTTTAATTGGGAAGCTCCACCACTGTCCACCATGGGTAACCATTATCACATTTGATACAGCAGTGTCACAGTGTTTAGCATCACAGCAACCACGAGTTACCTCTGTACAACAAATGGACAGACCAGTGTTATACCACTTAGAAGAGTGTTTGACCAAAAACAATTAAAACCAGGCCTGAGAGAAGCAGATTAAAGTCACCCTCCTTTGACTTGGAGGCCCACAGAGCTCTATGTTGGTGTTGTACTTTCACAGGTAGATTTTAAATATTTTTATATATGTGAGATTTTTGTTAACCACTTAATTGAGATATTGGTTACAGACTATACAATTTAACTATTTAAACTGTTCCATTCAGTGCCTTTTCGTATATTCACAGAGCTGTACAACTGCTACCACAATTCATTTTAGAGCATTTCCTCATCCAGGAAGGAAGCCTTTCTCTCATAACTGGGTGCATCAGTTGCTTCCCCATTCTGATAGTCTGAGGTCAGGATCTAGGCTTCCCCCACGTGCCTTGTCACACAGGAAGGGTAATGAAAGTCATTTCTTGGAACCTTTACAAAGGCTCTGGTGGCGTATTCCATATTCCATATTCCATGGTGAGGTTCTCTGTTAACCTTTGGCCATGCCTCTCAGGTGGTTTGAATCCACTAGCAGTTCCAGGGGAGAAAGTTGGGCAGTCTCCTCCCATGTACTTCACAGCCTTAGAAAATTGGAGGTTCAGCTATGAGTCAATTCCAACTCCACAGCTTTGAAGGTTTATTCACAAGCTAACTAGATAAACCTTGTGGTCAGCTTTGTGAAGTTTAAGAGCATTTAATGCCCCAATTTTATAAAGTCATTCAGAAGGATGAGAGTCCCACAATTAATTTAAAATCTAGTTTGTTGCAATCCATATTGTACTTAAAAATGGAAAGACTGTTTGTTTTAGTAAAGTGTTGTGTACTTTCTCTGTGTTCATTAGCATGACTGAACACATTCTATTGACTATGTATAATATGTTTACTTAAAATTAGGTCTGCTTAAGCATGTGTAATTAGTGGCTCAATTTCCTACCCTAGTTTGCTGTAGATGGAGGACTGGAGCCAAGAACAGTGTGGCAAAAGCAAGTAAAATACTTTAGGAAAGGTTTTTAATCTCCTACACACTTTGGAAGGCTTGATCTTATCAACTAATAATTTAATTTTTAAAGGTTCAGGGTTACTGTGGATTCCTCCCTTCAGGATACTATCTCTCCCTTATTAGATACAGTGTTTGGGGTCTACATTCAAGACATTATTACTCACAGCTTATAGATCTGATCAAACCTTTAGATCAAAGCTGTAGATATCACACCTGTGGGGAAAAAACCCACAAAGTTTCTGAAACCACTGCCCTCTCAAAAAAAAACAGATTAGAAGTGATATATGATTGAGTATTATGGTTAGCACAGGAATCCAGAATTAAGGTTGCATAGAGAAGTGTACTCGGGCTGGGGGGTGGGGGGAAGGGACGTGGGAATTGTATACTAAGGAAGGAATTTTTTTCTTTTTTTTTTTTCTCTCTTCAGAGAGGGAAGCGAGCTGGTGGGGGGGAGGGTTGGGAAGGGAGAAAATTGCGGCAATGAATGAATGGAAATCCAAAACCTCTGTAAAAAAAAAATTATAAAAAAAACCCTAAAAAAACAAAACAAAACAAAAAACCAACCAACCAGCCAAACAAACAAACAAACAAAAAAACCCACAGAAATTTACTACTACAAATCTCCCTGTCCTCCACGACCCACGACCCAACAATACAATGCCAATGATTTTCATTCCTTTCTGAGGGATCTTCTAACTTTCTCAGTCTACTTTTTTATTTGAATATACTCTTTTCTAAAAAAATAATTTTAATGAACATTTACAGAGAATTTGGATTTCCATTCATTCATTGCTGCACTTCTCTACCCGCCCAGCCCTCTCCCCCCGCCCCCCAGTTCGCTCCTCTCTTTCAAAAGTAAAAGAAAGACTCCCTCCCTGGTACACAATCCCCCCCACACCCCTCGCACCGCCCCAAGTACATTCCACTATGCAACCTTAATTGTGGACTCTTGTGATAACCATAATACCCTATCATACATCGCTTTTAAATTATTCAGTCCCTTGTCTGTTTCAGTGCAGTATACACAAATTACCCAGTTTTCTCAGTCATCCCCTCCCTGATATCAGTCCCATTTTACAGCAGTGGCACTGTGCAATATTTGTCCTTTTGCAACTGAGATATTTCACTCAGCATAATGTCCTCCAGACTCACCCATTTTGAATAATATTGAATGAGTTCCTTGTTTTTCAATGCATAGATAGTATTCCATTGTGTGAATATACCACCTCTTCTCTATCCATTTGTTTGTTGATGGGCACCTGGGTTGTTTCCAACTCCTTGCTATTGTGAACAGAGCTGCGATAAACATCGGTGTGCATATATCTGCTTGGATGTCAGTTATGGTCTCTTTGGGATATATTCTCAGTAGTGGAATTGCTGGGTCAAATGGTATCTCTATTAGCAACTTTTTGAGAAAGTGCCATACCGCCTTCCACAGTGGTTGCACCATTTTACATTCCCACCAACAGTGAATAAGGGTTCCAGTTTCTCCACAACCTCGCCAGCATTTGTTGCTTGCTGTTCTGTTAAATTTTGCTATTCTTATTTATTTGAATATACTCTTGAGTCAGTTGTATTAGCATTTTATGCCCTGCCATATAACCAAAAGTCATGAAAGGCAATGTTGAACACAGACAATACATTGTGGGCTTGAGGCTGGCTTATAATAATGATAATGATAAGAGCACTGAAGGTTATTCTTTATTGAACACTTACTGAGAGGCCTCAGGTGCATAAATAGTTAAGCACTCAGCTATCAACTGAAAGGTTGGTGGTTCCATTCTACCCAGAGGCGCCTCAGACAAAAAGCCTAGTATGCTTCTTCTGGAAATTTATACCCACTAAAAACCCTCTGAAGTACAATTACACCCTAACAGTTCCCCTCTGTAACACATGAGGTCGCCATGAGTGAGAATCGTCAGCAGCAACTAGCCTGGTTCCAGGCATTGGAACAATGTGTGCTGCCACGTTTCGTCCTCCCAGCATATCTGTGGAGCTGGAGTTCATTAACTCCTTTACAGATAATGAAATTGAGGCTCAGTAAAATTAAGCAACTTGCCTAAGGACATAATGTCAAAAAATGGTGAAACTGGAATTTCAACTCAGATCTGTCTGATTCATTTGAATGACTTGACTGCAGGTGATTGAAACTCATGGTTAAAAATACAAAAAAAAGGTTTTGTTGGTCACTGGTGGCAATTGTCATGGAACCACACTGCATTGTTCTAAACCTTGTTGGGAAAAAAAAGAAAAAGAGGTATTTATCCTTCCATTCCTGTGTAAATAGTTTCAAAGAGATCAAATCATTGATGAAGAATAGATTAGGGTTTTTTTTTTTTTAATCAAAGAATTCTAACTTATAGATGCAGAAGGAATGACAGTATTTTCAGATGCTATTTGAATGAATATGTGGATCTGGGCAGCAATCCTAAGGGAATAAGAAAACTACTCTGAGAGGCTGTTGGGCCTCCTTCTAAGCTGAGGAACCGGGCCAGCATTCCCAGAGCCCAGCAGGAATGACCCAAATGGACTCCAGGCCTTGAGATGTGATGTCAAACAAGACACACAGATCACTTGTGAAGTGTTCGTGCCTGAGACAGCTCACCTGAATCTAATCACACCAGTTCACTGTAACAGCCAGTTTACAGGAAATAGAGGGGATGACCCAGTGTCTCCCACCTATCATGGCCCTGAAGAGTAAAGGGAAAGAGGTTGTTACAGAATGAAAGATATTTAAAAAATATAACAACAACAACAAAAATATAGTACAGTCACTTTATATCTTGACCTGGACAGAGCAACAGTAAAATGATATTGTTCAGATATTGAAGGAAAATTGAGTAGAGACTTGTCTGTCTGTTGGGTGGTATTAAAGAATTTTTGTTCATTTTGTTAGTTTTGTTATACTGTTCTCTCTCTACTTTAGGTATGTTTGAAAATTTCTATGATAGAAGTAGAAATGGGGAAATAAAGATCCATGAGTTAAAATGCATGAATACACAGGGTCCCACGTAGTGGTTACTTGAAGCCCTGAGCAGCCAGCAGAGGAGTTTGGTCATGGCTTCCAGAAGTTGGGCCCATGGGCTGGTAGCCAGACTGCTTCTTCTTGGGAGATGCTTGAGCTCCTGGGAGCTCCTTCTTAACAGCAGGTATTTAGAGTGAGGTCTGACTGATATCTGCAGTGGCAGCCTGTCCACTGAGGCCTCAAGGGGCACAGGAGGGCTAGAGCCCAGCACTTCTGATGGTGCTAAGCAACAGGGGAATAGAGGCAGCAAGGAGTTCAGGAGTTAGGTTTTGCCGTCTTTGGAAGGCTCATCCTTGTTCTGTTGTGTTTTTCTTCAGAGGAAGTGGCTTTTAGGAAGAAAAGGCTGTGTATTAAATTTATCCCACGGGATTCAACTGAAGCTGCCATCTGTGACATTCGAATCATGGGCCGGACCAAGCAGGCCCCTCCTCAGTATACCTTTATCGGGTGAGTCTTTTTCTTTTTTTTAATTGGTTTTCATACAATAATTTGTTTACATTGTGTTTCATTCATGTATGTTTTGTTTATACAATCTTAATCACGCAAACGTCATTCACTTCTCTCTCTCCCAAAAATTGTCAGCCAATTCCAGGGACCAAGCCCTCAGAACTTCGACGAGACCCACAAAGCTCTGGTGACCTGCCTCTCATTAGCCTCATGTCACTGCCCTCCCCATTTGTGTTGCAGTCGATGCAACATGCCAGGCTGTTGACTGCCCTGAGCCTTTGCTCATGAGGCCTGCACCTTTCTGCAAAGGACCTTTCCTGCCCCTTGCTCTTCTGAGTATCCTTCAAGCTCCCCTAGAATCTTCTCAAATGCTTCAAAGTCACGTTATTATTTGTTTTCCTCTGTGATAAATAGGCCTCAATTCTCCACATTGTCTATTCACCCACTTAAATCTTATGGGATAGCTGTTATGTCCCATAAGATTTGATGAGATACCTATTATTTCCAGTGAACTGAACACAGTGACTATATTGGTGAAGAAGGCAAACAAGGATCCTCCTCTCATGGAATTTATATTCTTTAAGGGAGAGAGAGGCAAACAATAAATAAAAGATGATATTATTTCATGTAAAAAAAGGAAACAACAGTGGAGTTGGAAGCGCTCTGTAACTGGGATGATCACAAGGTGAAATTTGAGCAGAAACCTAAATATCAAGAAGAAAACAGCCATACAGAAAAACAGGTTGAGAAGAAGAGCAGGTATATAAATGGTAATGAACTTGGCATTGTGTGGGAACAGAAAGCAGACCAATATAGCTGTTGTTGCTATGTGCCATCAAGTCACTTGTGACCCATAGTGACCCTGTGTACAACAACTCTGAACCATGCTTTATCCTGAGCCAACCTTATAGTCTCTGACATACCTACCACTATTACCCTGGTCACTGGGTCTTCCTCTTTTGTGCTATCCCTTCACTCTCCCAAGTATGATGTCCCTCTCTGAGGACTGGTTCCTCCTTGTAACATGCCCAAAGTATGTCAGACGAAGCTTCGGAATCCTTGCCTCAAAGGAGCAACCTGGTTTCACCCTCTCCACGATGAACCTGTTTGTTCTCCATAGTGGTTCATGGTATATTCAGTACTCTTCTCCAGTGCCACAGCTCAAGGACATCAATTTTCCTTTCATCATCCTTAGTCATTGTCCAGCTTTCTGATGCATAGCAAGTAATAATTGTGAAGACAGTGGCCTGAATCAGGTGTACCTTAGTCTCCAGAATGACATCATTGCTCTTCAGTACTCTGGAGAAGTCCCTGACTGCAATTCCCAATGCGATTTGTCTTTTGATTTCCTTTCTGCTAGTACCAATAGTGTTGATTGTGTGGAGCCAAGTAAATGGAATCTGTTCACAATCTCAGTCTCTTCACCATCTATCATGATGCCACCAGTCAGCCCAGAGAAACTTTGTTTTCTTGATGTTGAGCTTCAATCCATATTTAAGGCTGCAGTCGTTGGCCTACAGCATAGCTGTAGTAAGAAAAAAAGATTAATAATAATATCAAGGACTAGGGGATGTCTGTGTGACATGGTAGAAGTTTCCATTTTCTTTTAAATGTGTTAGAAAGGCACTAGGGATTTCTGAGGAAGAAGCACAGATACTACATGATTACATGATAATGGCTTGTACATCTCTTGATCTGATGTTTGTCTTTCCTCATGAGCTGTGAACAGTGAGGACCGGAACCCTGTGTCTCTGGCTCACCCTGTGTACCAATCCTGGAGCCTGAGGCTTCAGTGGCTTCTTTTCAGCATATTTGGAAGAAGATTCAAGCTTCTGACACATCCCAGAAAGGGGATCCCTTGCCCCTGACATTCTGTCCCTTGCTTGCTTGCTTCAAAATAACAAAAACAACTCAGGTTATCATTTTGGGCTTTTTTGTTTGTAAGTGATAAGAAACTCAACCCAGACTGGCTTAAATGTAGGGAAGAATTTGTTACCTGACTTTACTCAATAATTGGGGGTTGGAATGGGGTCAAGATCAGCTCCAGGTCTGGCTAGACTTGGGTATTTGAAAGACATCACCAGAATCTGATTTGAACCCTTCTGTCTCTCTACTGTTATGCCTTTTGATTGACTGCATTCTAAGGCATGTTCTCTCCAGATGTGAGCATGGTGATGTGGTACTGTTGTCTACTTTTAGTGCATGTTCAGGGCCAAAAGGAAAGACCAAGTCTTGATGTTCCTCATAGTTCAGCAACAAGTACTAAAATTCAGTCTCATTGCTCTTGATTGTTCCACCTAGGGCCATGGTCACTGTTGTTTGCAAATGTTATTTTCTGCTCAGCCAAGCCTGAACTGGAATAAAGTCACCTCCAATGGAACTCCTGGATTAAGAGCAAGGGGTAGTTTCCCTCACAATATACTGGGAGGCATAAAAGAAGTTAGAAGCGGGATGAATGGAAACCTGGGCCCAAAAGAAGCAGAGTTCACCAGCCTTAAATTGACATTTTAGTCATATTAACCAGTGTAGAAGTAGGTGAGAATCTTTGACTTCTTCATGTCAAGCTTCAATCCATATTGAAGACTACAGTCCTTGACCTTCTGTAGCAAGAGCTTCAGGTCCTTCTCAGTTTCAGCAAGCAAGGTTGTGTTATCTGCATAATGTAGGTGGTTGATGAATCTTCCTCCAATCCTGATGCCACATTCCTTCTCATAGAGCCCAGCCTCCTGAATGATCTGTTCTACATATGGATTGAAAAAGTAAGGAGACAGGATGCATCTCTCTGATTCACTCCTTTCCTTATTTTGTACCATGCAATGTTTTTTTTCTCTGTTCTGAAGATTGCTTTCTGGTCTGGTATATAGGTTTCACAAGAGCATAATCAAGTGGTCAGGAATTAATTCCCGTTTTCCTCAAAGTTAGCCGCAATTTGCTGTGATCCACACAAGTCAAATGCATCTACATAGTCAATGAAGCATAAAGAGACATTCCTTTGGTACTCTGCTTTCTGCCAAGATCCATCTAACATTGATGATAATGTCTCTAGTGCCACTACCTCTTCAAAACCCACCTTGTATTTCTGGTAGTTCTCTGTCGATATACTGTTCTAGTCATTTTTTGCATATATGTTAAATTAGTGATTGCTGTTGTTGTTGTTGTTATGTGCGGTTGAGTCACTTGCGACTCACAGCAACCCTATACACAACAGCCCTAAACACTGCTCTATCCTGTGCCAATCACACTGCCTCCGACACACCCATCCCAATTACCCCAGTCACTGAATCAATCCACCTCATAGAGGGCCTTCCTCTCCTGCACTGTCCCTCCACCCTTCCAAGCATGATGTCCCTCTCCAAGGACCCGTCCCTCCTTACAACATGTCCAAAGTATGTCAGAAGAAGCCTCAGAATCCTTGCCTCCAAGGAACAGCCCGGTTTAACCCTCTCCAGGATGAATCTGTTTGTTTTCTTAGCAGTCCATGGTACATATATTAGTGATACTGTTTGATAATTTTCACCTTCTGTCAGGTCATCTTATTTTGAAATGGGAACAAATATGGATCTCTTCCGTTCAGTTGGCTAGGTAGTTGTCCTCCAGATTTCTTGGCACAACCTGGTGAGCATGTCCAGGGCAGCATCTGTTTGTCAAAATATGTCAGTATCAAGAAGGCAACAATTTTAACCACTGAGCCAATTGGCAGCACCATGATAGAGAAGAGATTGAGGTTGTTAACAATTACAGCTTGCTCAGCTTCATAATCAACATTCTAGGCATTAGCAGCCAAGAAATCAAAAGATGAATTGCACTGGAAAAATTGGCTGTCAGGGACTTCTCCAGAGTACTAAGCAGCCATGATACAAGTCTAGAGACTAAGGTGCACCAGATCCAGGCCGTGGTCTTCGCATTATCTTTCTATGCATCAGAGAGCTGGACAGTGACTAAGGATTATAGAAGAATTGATGCCTTTGAGTTGTGGTGCTGGAGAAAAGTATTGAACATAACCATGGACCACTAAGAAAACAAATAGGTCTGTCTTGGAGAGGGTGAAACCAAGTTTCTCTTTGGAGGTTAGGATTTTGAAGCTCCATCTCACATTCTTCGGGCACATGGTCAGGAGGGACTGGTCATTGGAGAAGAACATTATATTTGGAACGATGGAGGGATAGTGAAGGAGAGGAAGACCCCAGATGAGATTGATTGATACAGTAACTGGGACAATTGGGGTTGGTGTGTTGGAGTCATTGAGACTGGCTCAGGATAGGGTAGACTTCAGAGCTGACAGGGTCGCTATGAGTCACATATGACTTGATAGCACATAACAGCAGTAGAAGGTGATGCTTTGGTCTCTGTGACCATGTGCCTCTTCCTCAGGTCAGGCTTTCCAGGCATATATTTGTTACTGTGGTTCCCAGGGATGCAGTCTCCTACTTGACTTTGGAGGTCAGCATTCTGGATCTGGTTCATATTGCTTTATTTTTGTTCCAGTGAGCATAGAGCCTCCTTTTTACTCTAGAAGTAAGGGTCTTTCCTCTTATGCCAGATAGGGTTTAGGCAGTGGACAATAGCTATAGGGTTTTCTTGAAGTCATGCAGGCAGAAGTTTGTACTGTAAAGATTATTTTCAGCATGACTTCTGTAGATTTCTTCAGCTATGGAGTCTGAGATTGTGCGGTTCTTAAGAAGAGCTCTGTGATCATTTTCTTTTTTAAATGCTCAAAAAACCTGTTTTCCCATATTGTTTAAGTTAATTATATAAACAGTATTATGAGAGTTGTTGTTAGTTGCTGTCGAGTCAAGTATGATTCATAGCAACCCTATGAACAAAACAGCTGAATTCTGTTCTATCCTGCACCATCCTCATACCTCCTGACACACAAGAGCCCATTGCAGCAGTCACCATGCCAGTCCACATAATGAGGGTCTTGCTCTCCTTCGCTGACTCTCATCTTCCCAGCATCATGTCCTCCAAGGAATAGCCTCTCCTATTGTCCAAAGAATGTGAGGCAAAGCCTCATCATACTTGCCTCCAGAGAGTGCTTCAGCTGCGCCCTTCAAGACATATCTGTTTGTTCTTTTGGCCATTCATGTGATGTTCATTGCTCTTCTCCCACACAACAGTTCAAAGGCATCAATTATTTTTCTGTCATCCTAATTCATTGTCCAGCTCTCAGATGCAAAGCTAGTGATTATAAAGACTATATGGCCTAAATCAGATTCACTTTAGTCCTCAAACTGACATCACTAATCCTCAATAATTTGGAAAGGTCCTTAACTGCAGATTTTCCCAGTACAGTACATCTCCTTATTTCCTGACTGCTAGTGCCAAGGTAGTTAATTGTGGGTCCAAGCAAGATGTAGCTGCTGACAGAAAATAATCGTATTTCCAGCCCCTTAGAAGCAGCTGTTTACATAAAAATAGAAAAAACCAAGTTTAGTTATAAACTTTTAGAGTTTAATTTCAGTTAACAGTTGTATTTTAATTATAAACTGTACTATTTTGAATTATTTAAATAACATTAAAATTAAAAATTGAAATCCAAATAATAGTTTCCCCTCCCCCACATATGTCTGGCTAGTCAGAACTAGAATCTTTTTCTTTTGTATCATTTTGAAAAGATTGCTGAATAAAGTATATTTTATTTGATCTTGGCACAAATATTCTTTTTCAGAGGAAAAAGATTTCAGTGTTATATTTAAGACAAGAGAACTCAGCATTCAGAACTGTAAGGCACTTCTTCGAATGGGCACAATTCCACCTGTTACTTTGTGAGGATTGTAGTAGATCAGCTGGAGGAGACAGAAACCTCAAGATTTGATCTCTTAGAGCCAAGTGAAGACTAAGATACGTGAAGTCAGAGAAGCTGACTGGAATCAGTTTTCTAATAAGACTTAATTGTGGTTTTATTTTAGGATAATTCAAAGCAACTTACTAGATGTATTCACAGAATATTTGTTTTTATATTTTGAAGAAGTTATCTATATCCTTCTAAGATACAAATCTATGGAACAATTGAAAAGTTGAAAACTATAAGTGTGGCTGAAATAACCCTGTTACAGTTCTGAAATATGCACCAGCCCCGTAAACACGTGTGCCTGTGTGGCATAAGGCCAGGCTTGTGGGGCTGTGTGTTCTAAAGAGCCTAGTGTGACATCTGTGAGGCTTTACTATGTATACACTTACTTGAGGTAGTTGGTGAGGCCTGTGCCTAGGGCTTTGTGGTTTGATGATGTTCCCCAAACCTGGCAGAAGCTTTTTCATGGTAAGATGAGGTCAACAATAGGTTTACATCAATCTCAGCTTTAAGGTGTTCCAACCCAAAACAGGAGGCCCATGGATAGCACAAATGGCCTGTACTTGACTTCTGCCCGCTCAGTGGCTGTTTGAGGGAACAGGCTTCATGCTTCTGTAAAGATTCTAGCCAAAAAAAAACCCACTGAGTACTTCTAACCTGTAACATGTGGTGTCAGCATGAGTCAGAGTTAGGTCAATGGTTAATTTGGGTTTTTGCTTTGGATCCTGAAATGTTACAGAGATGTTGTCGCTGTTAGGTGCTTTTGAGTCAGCTCTGACTCAGTGACCCTGTAATAGAATGATTTGCTCTCTGATCCTTTAACATATTCAGTCTCTACTGTGCATGAGCCTGTAACTGCAGCTGCATATGTCACCCCATATTGTTGAGGGTCTGCCTCTAATCTGATGATCCTCAACTTGACCAGCATGATGCCTTTCTCTAGGGACTGACCCTTCCTGACAGCATGCACAAAGTATAGGGGATAAAACTGCCCCATCCTTGCTCTGAAGAAGTGTTCTCAACTGTACTTCTTCCAATATAGGTTTGTTTGTTCTTGTGGAAGCCCATGGTATTTTTCAATATTATTCATAAGCACCACAATTCAGAGACATCATTTCTTTTTTCAGACATCTTTATTAATTGTCCATGTACATTGTCCATGCATTTGAAGTGCTTAAAAATATCATGGCTTTGTTCAGGCATCCCTTTGTCCTCAGAGTGGCATCCAGTGCAAGGAAGGCATAATTTGGTATCTTACCAGTATACATGATAAATATGAAAAAATAGTGCTGCTTTCCTGAATGCTGATTGTGGATTCAAGTAAAATGAAGTCCATGACCACTTCAGCCTTTTCTTACCGTGCTGTTGTTAATTGGTTAAGAGGATCAGGGTGGATCTCATTCTTCTTATGGCTAAAAGCCAGGCATATGTGCCTGCAAGTCCATTTTCTACCTGCCTCATCCTAATTGCACAAAAAAATTTGGAGTGGGTTAGAACACAAATACCTACAATGAAGTGAAAAAGAATTCTTTAAAATGAGAACCAATCAATAGGATCAGGAAGGCAAGCTCTGGGGGTGGATGGAGAAGATGACTGTGTCCTCAAGTCCTGTATGCTTGGGAGACTTGCCCTCATATAAGGCCCTGATCCTTGGCACCTGGAATACAAAGGGAGGTGGTGTTACTGATATTGTACGGGCAGGAATTGATTCCCTGTTTTTTAATCTATGGCTCTTTTAAATGAACTCCTTTACTTTGTCACTTGGGTAACTATTTTAAACAACACCATAATGATTTTTCTTTCCTCCTAAAGGGAATTGAACAACATGGGCATCTGGTATCGAATGGGCAGAGTACCAAGAAATCATGACTCATCTCAACCCACGACGCCTTCCCAGTCATCAGCTGCTTCCACCCCAGCCCCCAACCTTCCCAGGTGAGGCCTCACCAGGAGTGTTCTATGCTATTATTTATGTAACAGCTAAAGTTCGGACCTGTAGAGATTAGAACAGGGTCTGGAGTTCTACTGTGGGTAGCATGTTAAAACATCTTTACACAGTATCTGTACCACATAGCTGAGAAATTGTGGAAGCAATCCATCTTTAGAGGGTATTTTTAAAAGTTCAGGCGAGACATTTGTGTTAAATTAATTGACAGGTCATTCTATATTCTATTTTGGATGTGTTCTGAAGACCCCTGTAATACAGTGTACACCTAAAATTGGCCATTGCAAAGAACTTAGATCTGCACACAGATACTGCACAAAGATGCCTGCTTTGTAGCTATATAGTTGGGATCACAGGGCTTAAGAAGGTGGAATTCCTTTTCTGCCTCAACCAGTAACTCATTTGAAACCCAGAAGGATTGGTAAGTAATTATCTCATTTTCATATTGTTTCTTTTCCCAGTGATCCAGAATCTATTTAAGAAATGGGTGTTTTGGGTATGAGAAAATAGCGAGAAGTTTTGCTGGAGATGTTAGTTTTATAAAGTAATTGTTTCCATACAGGCATTTGGATAAACAAACTAGCTTATCTCTTCAACTGATTTCAGTTATAAAAAAGGTAGTAAGAGTTTCTACATTTTTGCAGAAAGCAGATGGTGAAAAGAATCCTGTCATAAAGAACCTTTTGGTAATAAAGAACCTGTGCATCACCAGGGGTAAATTGAAGACAAAGGAACAGACATCAATGATAGATTAAGTTTAAAAAGAAAATAAGTAAGAGTAGATGAGACAACATCTCTTGGGGGATTGATGAATGAGAATGCATCTGAAAGCTTCCAGGTAGGGGAATAGGAGGAGCAGGCATCAGTGCCCACCTTCTCTGGGTCACACCTGCCACACCCACAAATCCCTCAGGGAGGCAACATCAGGCATGCCACAAGGAGAGCGATAGTTTAGCTGTACACACAGCATCCTCCTCCCAGCCGCCTCCCTCAAAGGAACACCGCGGTAATGAGCCTGCTGCTCAGAGGACTCTGTCCTTTGGGACGCCCTCTGTAAAAACAATCTGGTCCTTCTCAAGACACTTTCAGAAACTGAGAACGGTATTTAAAGTTAACTACCCCCGGAACTGCCCCAAACGTTAGAAGGACTTTCGGTTCCACTCTGGTCTGAAAAGATATGAATTGCTGTGAACCTCCGAGGGATGCGGGTCTGAGCAGCTGCGCCTCTTTGTTGTGCTCAGGGGTGTGAGCACAGCTCCGCTCCACAGTTGCTGGTTCCTTTCTCACTGACAAGAGCACTGTCACAGCTGTGTGCTCAAGAGTGCTGCGGGGGACCACCACCACCTGCGCTCGGGCACAGCCGCACTCCATCACCTGTGTCAGGCCCATCACCTGTGCGGAGGTCAGTGCAGGCCTGTCGTCTGAGCTTCGAGTCAGCTCAGTGCAGAGGCCGGGAAGTCCCCAGGGGACTACTTGGTTCTGAACGTCTGAAAGAGTTTTCGTTGCCTTTAAATAGTTACAGCTGCCCCCTGTTGACCTTATATGATCCTGAATGGCCAGAAGTGGGCACACCTCCCTGGCAGGCTTTGATGTCCTGTTGAGCAGAGAGCAGTGATTCTCCTGGATAAAGCAGCGAGCAGGATGGCCTCAGAAGCTTCCTGTAAGAGGAAGGTCACTTATAACAGAAGGGAAAGGGCCTGAGCACACTAGGTCAGCCAGAGCAGGGCCAGACCTGGAGGGAGCATGTCAGAACGAAGTGTTTATAAGGCTTTATATATTTTATAACCTCTTGTTGTACAGTTTATGGTTTACAATGGCTGCAAGGAAATTGGATCAGTTTTGTTTTACTTGCCAAATAAAACAAATGTCAAAATAGTCAATATAAAATGTATTCTAATTTGGCTGAGTTAAGTCAGCCAGTATGCAGTAGGATAATTGAATGTTACATTAATGTTTCCCAGTAAAAACCTCTTGTCTGTCCCAAGCTCTCCTCTCTCCCTGTGCAGGTGATTTACAGGTAATGTGCACACCTGTGTGAGGCTCCTAGTTCATTGGGGCGCGGGGGGGGGGGGGGGGGGGGGGGGGGGCGGGGCTGTGTATGGTGTGGCATTTTGTGTAAAAAAAAATTCCTATCTGATATCCCTTAGATTTTTTTTTTAAAATGAAATCTGATTACTCACTCAAACTTTCCATTGCAAATGTACAAAATGAAGAGGAGATTATTTTATTCCTTGAAGCTTCAGGTTTCTATGAACTCTCCTGGAGCAGAATCTGACATCTGACACCTCCAGCCCCTCAGTGCTGAGCCCTGAGTGACAGAGTGTTCTGGTTCCTGGGATATGTGGTGGGCCTGGGAGTTCCAAAAGAGCTCCAGTTGCAAATAGTTTGGCCTCCATTCACATCAGTGCATTGCCAGATCCTTGTATTTCGAAAATATGGTCTCTGTCCATCTGCCCCACAAAGCTGAAATGAGAAGTGGATTATAAGAGCATATGAGACAAACAGTTGCAAGAGGGGGTGCATTGGCTGAGTTCTGCTGTGGCCCCACTGCCAGCTCACAGAACAAGCCGCCTCCAGCAATTCTGTGTGTGGGTGGGGCTGCACCTTTTCCCAGGAGTCATCTGTGGAGCGTGCATCTTGTTAGGCCTCTGCACCAGCTGTCCTCAGAGTTTGGCACGTCTTGGGATCTTTGTGCAAACCCAGGAGTCTTTGTGACTCCTGGCAGCCACAGTGGTTTCTTGGGCTGTGTGCACCCTAGCCACCTGTCACAGCAACCAGAGCCAGTCAGCACACCTTTCTGGCCTTCTGCATCCACCTATGGGCCATGCTGTCAGTAGAGCTAAGGTTAAGAGTTCAGTCTCAGGTCAATACTGAGCAGCAGTGGTAGAGGGAGACTTTGATCACAGTTCTAACCTGATGTGTCTTCCTATGAGTGCGGGTCATTTAAGTGACACCTGGGTGTGCTCAGGGCAGAGCACAGGCAGGGCAGTTGCACTTCCTCCACTGAAGTCCACTTTCCCTCTCTCAGGTCTCTGCCCTCTCTGAGCTTGTTACCTTATCTGCAAAGTGAGACTCATCTTCCTTTGCAGAGTTTGCTGTGCGGATTTGATGAGAAAATGGGTCTACTTCACTTTATATCATGTCTGCACACAGCCAAAGCAAACTTTCTTTTGATGTTGTTATTGCTAACAAGTCGAGTATGATTCCTGGCAATCCTATGAACAACAGATCTGAATTCTGTCCTGTCCTGTGCCATCCTCACCATCTCTGATACATCAAGCCCATTGCTGCAGTCATCACACCATTTCATCTCATTGGGGGTCTTCCTGTTTTTCACTGACCCTCCACCCTCCCAAGCATGATATATCATTCCAGGGAATAGCCTTTCCTAGCAACATGTCCGAAATATGTGAGATAAAACTTTGCCATCCTTGCCTCCAAGGAGCACTCCAGCTGTACCTTTTCCAAGATACACCTGTTCGTTCTATTCTCCAACACCATAACTCAAAGGCATCAATTCTTCAGTCATCCTGCTTCATTGTCCAGCTCTCGGATGCATTGCAAGTGATCAAAAAGACCACAGCCTGAATCAGGCACACGTTTAGTCTTCAAACTGACATCATTGGTCTTCATTGTTGTGGAGAGGTGCCTGACAGCAGACTTGCCCAAAGCAGTACATCTCTTGATCTCCAGAATTCTGGTATCAGGAGTGTTGATTGTGGATCCAAGCAAGACAAGATCATTAACAGTTTTAATCCTTTCTCCATCTATCATGATATTGCTCACTGGCCCAGTAGTGAGACCCTTTTCTTTCTTGAGGTTGAGATACAGTCCACACTGAAGGCTGAAATCTTAGATCTTCTGCAACAAGCAATAGATGAGTACAAATCAAGCCTTTTTTTTAAGAGGATGAAATCATGTGGTGAGTGAGATTTTCCTAGAAGTGGGGAAAAATCTACTCTCTTTCAATGTTACCCTTTGGTCTCGGACTCCTCCTCTCACTCCCTCTCAGTGCTCTGCCTCGGGATTAACGAGGAGGACACAGTTGTTTGAGAGGGACAGTTTTCTGATACTCAGGATTGTCTCACTAGGTGGATCGCAGAAACATTCCTTCTGATCTTGTTCACATCCACCTGCCTCCGCCTGGCTACAAGTCTCACCTTAGCCTTCTCCTGCTTAAAAGCCACAGCAACCTCCCATTCTCTCTAGGTTAAAGGCCATACTGCTCAACAGGGCATATCAGGGCTGGATGTTCAACTGCTCTAATTTCCCCTCTCCTCTTCCTCAGCCCCCAACCTCAAAACCCCTGGTGGTGGCTTCCTCTCCCTTTTCTATTCTGTGCTCCCATGTCCTTGCTCACACTGATACTTGTACATCAGATGTGTCCCATATCCTTCCTGACTCAGTCCTGTTCAGCCTTTAGATTTCAGCTCCAAGGATCCTTCTTCCAGGACACCTTCCCTGAAGTCCATGCTGGACTCTCCTCTCTGAACATGTTTCTGCCATGATTCACATTGCATTATGGTCATGTCTCTGTGTCCAGCTCCTCTCCCAAACAGAGAACTCCCTGAAGGCAAACACAATGTCTTGTCCCTTGTATCCCTCCAGTACTTAGTGTGGAAACAGGTGTTTATTCCAGTGGCAACCATGGCTTCTTCAACAGCCGAGCATTCTGTGTTGCAGCTACCCCAGTTTATTCCCAATTCCCTGAGTCTGTCTCTTTCAGATTACAAGAGTAACTCAAGCATACAGAAGATTTGTAAGATACAGAAAATTAAAAGGAAGGAATTCTACTCCTGCTTTGATAAATATTCATAACATGGTTTTATATTTTCACCAAGTCTTTTTATTCCACTGTACACTTTTTAGTGTTGCTGACTGCCTTGAGTCAGCCCGATTCACAGAAACCTCACACACAGTGGAACAAAATTACGTCTGCTGCTGCTGCTGCGTTTTCCCATGACCAGTTGCAGGTCAGACCACTGTGATC